CATAAATGTGTGTGGGTAATAAATAACAACATCAATGTGTGTGGGTAATAAATAACAACAACAATGTGTGTGGGTAATAAATAACAACAATGTCTGTGGGTAATAAATAACAACATCAATGTGTGTGGGTAATAAATAACACCATCAATGTCTGTGGGTAATAAATAACAACATCATTGTGTGTGGGTAATAAATAACAACATCAATGTCTGTGGGTAATAAATAACATCATCATTGTGTGTGGGTAATAAATAATAACATCAATGTCTGTGGGTAATAAATAACAACATCATTGTCTGTGGGTAATAAATAACACCATCAATGTGTGTGGGTAATAAATAACAACATCAATGTGTGTGGGTAATAAATAACAACATCAATGTGTGTGGGTAATAAATAACAACATCAATGTCTGTGGGTAATAAATAACAACATCATTGTGTGTGGGTAATAAATAACAACATCAATGTCTGTGGGTAATAAATAACATCATCATTGTCTGTGGGTAATAAATAACAATATCAATGTGTGTGGGTAATAAATAACAACATTAATGTGTGTGAGTAATAAATAACAACATCAATGTGTGTGGGTAATAAATAACATCATCAATGTGTGTGGGTAATAAATAACATCATCAATGTGTGTGGGTAATAAATAACAACATCAATGTGTGTGAGTAATAAATAACAACATCAATGTGTGTGGGTAATAAATAACATCATCAATGTGTGTGGGTAATAAATAACAACATAAATGTGTGTGGGTAATAAATAACAACATCAATGTGTGTGGGTAATAAATAACAACATCAATGTGTGTGGGTAATAAATAACACCATCAATGTGTGTGGGTAATAAATAACAACATCAATGTGTGTGGGTAATAAATAACAACATCAATGTGTGTGGGTAATAAATAACAACATCAATGTGTGTGGGTAATAAATAACAACATCAATGTGTGTGGGTAATAAATAACAACATCAATGTCTGTGGGTAATAAATAACACCATCAATGTGTGTGGTGTAATAAATAACAACATAAATGTGTGTGGGTAATAAATAACAACATCAATGTGTGTGGGTAATAAATAACAACAACAATGTGTGTGGGTAATAAATAACAACATCAATGTGTGTGGGTAATAAATAACAACATTAATGTCTGTGGGTAATAAATAACAACATCAATGTGTGTGGGTAATAAATAACAACATCAATGTGCGTGAGTAATAAATAACAACATCAATGTGTGTGAGTAATAAATAACAACATTAATGTCTGTGGGTAATAAATAACACCATCAATGTCTGTGGGTAATAAATAACAACATTAATGTCTGTGGGTAATAAATAACACCATCAATGTCTGTGGGTAATAAATAACAACATTAATGTGTGTGGGTAATAAATAACAACATTAATGTCTGTGAGTAATAAATAACAACATTAATGTCTGTGGGTAATAAATAACAACAACAATGTCTGTGGGTAATAAATAACAACATTAATGTGTGTGGGTAATAAATAACAACATTAATGTGTGTGGGTAATAAATAACAACATTAATGTGTGTGGGTAATAAATAACAACATCAATGTGTGTGGATAATAAATAACAACATCAATGTGTGTGGGTAATAAATAACAACATTAATGTCTGTGGGTAATAAATAACAACATTAATGTCTGTGGGTAATAAATAACAACATCAATGTGTGTGGGTAATAAATAACAACATCAATGTGTGTGGGTAATAAATAACAACATCAATGTGTGTGGGTAATAAATAACAACATCAATGTGTGTGGGTAATAAATAACAACATCAATGTCTGTGGGTAATAAATAACACCATCAATGTGTGTGGTGTAATAAATAACAACATAAATGTGTGTGGGTAATAAATAACAACATCAATGTGTGTGGGTAATAAATAACAACAACAATGTGTGTGGGTAATAAATAACAACATCAATGTGTGTGGGTAATAAATAACAACATTAATGTCTGTGGGTAATAAATAACAACATCAATGTGTGTGGGTAATAAATAACAACATCAATGTGCGTGAGTAATAAATAACAACATCAATGTCCGTGGGTAATAAATAACAACATTAATGTCTGTGGGTAATAAATAACACCATCAATGTCTGTGGGTAATAAATAACAACATCAATGTCTGTGGGTAATAAATAACAACATTAATGTGTGTGGGTAATAAATAACAACATTAATGTCTGTGAGTAATAAATAACAACATTAATGTCTGTGGGTAATAAATAACAACAACAATGTGTGTGGGTAATAAATAACAACATAAATGTGAGTGGGTAATAAATAACAACATTAATGTCTGTGGGTAATAAATAACAACATTAATGTGTGTGGGTAATAAATAACAACATTAATGTGTGTGGGTAATAAATAACAACATTAATGTGTGTGGGTAATAAATAACAACATCAATGTGTGTGGATAATAAATAACAACATCAATGTGTGTGGGTAATAAATAACAACATTAATGTCTGTGGGTAATAAATAACAACATTAATGTCTGTGGGTAATAAATAACAACATCAATGTGTGTGGGTAATAAATAACAACATCAATGTCTGTGGGTAATAAATAACACCATCAATGTGTGTGGTGTAATAAATAACAACATAAATGTGTGTGGGTAATAAATAACAACATCAATGTGTGTGGGTAATAAATAACAACAACAATGTGTGTGGGTAATAAATAACAACATCAATGTGTGTGGGTAATAAATAACAACATTAATGTCTGTGGGTAATAAATAACAACATCAATGTGTGTGGGTAATAAATAACAACATCAATGTGCGTGAGTAATAAATAACAACATCAATGTCCGTGGGTAATAAATAACAACATTAATGTCTGTGGGTAATAAATAACACCATCAATGTCTGTGGGTAATAAATAACAACATCAATGTCTGTGGGTAATAAATAACAACATTAATGTGTGTGGGTAATAAATAACAACATTAATGTCTGTGAGTAATAAATAACAACATTAATGTCTGTGGGTAATAAATAACAACAACAATGTGTGTGGGTAATAAATAACAACATAAATGTGAGTGGGTAATAAATAACAACATTAATGTCTGTGGGTAATAAATAACAACATTAATGTGTGTGGGTAATAAATAACAACATTAATGTGTGTGGGTAATAAATAACAACATTAATGTGTGTGGGTAATAAATAACAACATCAATGTGTGTGGATAATAAATAACAACATCAATGTGTGTGGGTAATAAATAACAACATTAATGTCTGTGGGTAATAAATAACAACATTAATGTCTGTGGGTAATAAATAACAACATCAATGTGTGTGGGTAATAAATAACAACATCAATGTGTGTGGGTAATAAATAACAACATCAATGTGTGTGGGTAATAAATAACAACATCAATGTGTGTGGGTAATAAATAACAACATCAATGTGTGTGGATAATAAATAACAACATCAATGTGTGTGGGTAATAAATAACAACATCAATGTGTGTGGGTAATAAATAACAACATCAATGTGTGTGGGTAATAAATAACAACATCAATGTGTGTGGGTAATAAATAACAACATTAATGTGTGTGGATAATAAATAACAACATCAATGTGTGTGGATAATAAATAACAACATCAATGTGTGTGGGTAATAAATAACAACATCAATGTGTGTGGGTAATAAATAACAACATCAATGTGTGTGGGTAATAAATAACAACATCAATGTGTGTGGGTAATAAATAACAACATCAATGTGTGTGGGTAATAAATAACAACATCAATGTGTGTGGGTAATAAATAACAACATCAATGTGTGTGGGTAATAAATAACAACATTAATGTGTGTGGGTAATAAATAACAACATCAATGTGTGTGGATAATAAATAACAACATCAATGTGTGTGGGTAATAAATAACAACATTAATGTGTGTGGGTAATAAATAACAACATTAATGTCTGTGGGTAATAAATAACAACATCAATGTGTGTGAGTAATAAATAACAACATCAATGTGTGTGGGTAATAAATAACAACATCAATGTCTGTGGGTAATAAATAACAACATCAATGTGTGTGGGTAATAAATAACAACATCAATGTGTGTGGATAATAAATAACAACATCAATGTGTGTGGATAATAAATAACAACATCAATGTGTGTGGATAATAAATAACAACATCAATGTGTGTGGGTAATAAATAACAACATCAATGTGTGTGGGTAATAAATAACAACATCAATGTGTGTGGGTAATAAATAACAACATCAATGTGTGTGGGTAATAAATAACAACATCAATGTGTGTGGGTAATAAATAACAACATGAATGTGTGTGAGTAATAAATAACAACATCAATGTGTGTGGGTAATAAATAACAACATCAATGTGTGTGGGTAATAAATAACAACATCAATGTGTGTGGGTAATAAATAACAACATTAATGTCTGTGGGTAATAAATAACAACATCAATGTGTGTGGGTAATAAATAACAACATCAATGTGTGTGGGTAATAAATAACGACATCAATGTGTGTGGGTAATAAATAACAACATTGCGTCATTGTGGAGATAATGAGCAGCATAACGCAGCCCAGCGGCAGCTCGCTCACCACCATTCTAGAGGTCCGCGGTTCGAATCCGGCTGGCCTCCCTGGCTAAAATTTCTGGTGAATTAACCGTAACAATTCTACACGCCGCCTGCTTCACAGTGCACCGGCGACGTCATTCCAAACGAGTCGTGAAGTCCCTGCAGCGGGGAGCAGGTGAGGCCCAGCGGAGGCCGCGAGCCTCGCCTGGCAAGGGGAGAGACCCGGGTCGAGCCAAGACGTCCACGAGCAGACTCTGGAGGAACCGCCCAACGCAGAGCTAAACGACACGGCGGACGAGACCGTGGGAGCGGTGCGGAGCGGTGCGGAGCGGAGCGAGGTTGAGCGGCGCACCTGCCAGGTAGAGCATGAATGAGATGAAGCGGTGGTAGCGCATGAGCATGCGCACCGTGCCGCCCAGGTGCAACCCCGTGGAGAAGTAGTCGACCACCGTCTCCCCGTAGCAGAAGTAGTTGGTGCACAGCAGGAAGTACCTGGGGCAGAGCGCGCGAGCGGTTACGGGGACGGCGCCGGCAACCCCCGCAGCCAAGCTTCCTCCTCGGGCTCCCTGCCCTTCCCCCGCCTGCCCCTGCTGGCCGGGTGCTATGCGTCGCAGGGACCAGCTGACACCGGGGGTGCCCCTCGAATCGTGACGAAGCGATGCAAGTCGCTCGCCGCGTGTGGGAGAGCTCCATCAAAATGAATCGCTCTCGTCGTTATGACCATGACGACGATGATGACAATGACGACAATGACAATGACGACAATGATGACAATGACGATGACAATGACGTTGACAATGACGACGATGACGACAATGACAATGACGACGATGACGACGATGACGACAATGACGACAATGACGATGACGACAATGACGACGATGACAATGACGACGATGACAATGACGACAATGACGACAATGACGACGATGACGACGACGACAATGACGGCGATGACGATGTACTCACCAGCTGAGGCAGCGGAACCAGGGCAGTTTGTAGGAGTTGTAGACCACGTACCCGATCCCAATGATCTCGTGGAAGCACTTGGCCTGCAGCACCAACACCTGCGCACGCGGCAGGCGACCAGAGCCAAGCAACAGCACACGGCAACCATTTCCAGCGCGACGACGCCGAGCGAAGAGCAGTTCCCTCCACCGCGGCTCTCGCCGCGTCTCGCCGCCACCGCACGAGGCCCACGACTCGGCCGCGGCTCGAGCCCTCCCGCCTCCGATGCTGCCGCTGCTACCACGGTCACGTCTGGGGTGGGGTTCCCGGCTCCTGCATCGCCGCCGTATCGCGGCGATCGACGCTCCGCTCGCTACGCCTCGCTCACCCGGCGGTCGGTCGCCGCCTCCCCGTGGTGGTTTACCGCTTCCCGCGAACTTCGCTCATTGACTGTCTCCACCCCATGTTGAGGACTCGGTCCAGCAGGCTCTCACTACAGGCCTGTCCCTGAGGTGATTGCCGTCGTTATCACTCCACCTGTTGACCCAGGAAAGCTTCGTGGCACCTTGCCAGGAGGGTCGGGCCAAGCAATTGCGGGTGCCGAGTATGAAGCGTCATGGCGAACAAACCACCCCCCCCCTCCCCCCCCCCCGGATGCCGTGGAAGCCAGCTCCGCTCATCGCCATGGCGATGAGGACGCCGGCTATGCTAATTGCCATGGAGATGAGGACACCAGCTCCGCTAATCACCATGGCGATGAGGCCGATCGGCCCAGTGTAGATGAGCAGCCAGTAGGAGGAGAACATCGCGATTCCCAGAATGCACCGCACCCACATGTTCCTCCATCTGGAGAGGAGAAGCCACAAGAACATCGCTGTGTACACGGAGGTTTCCGCAACCGATATCGCGATTCACGGTTCACTTCAGGATTAGGCCACGCGACGATGTAATAATCAAATTCGTGTGGTTAAACCCTCCACCACCCGACACAGCCAAACTCAATAAACGGCCGCGCGTGCAGGCGATTTCCACGTCAAACCGTTCTTGCTTCAAGAACGGTTCTCACGGCCAAAGTTCAGTCTCGTGCAGACGCGAAGGCGTCCCGATGATGCTTGACGCAGTTTGCGAGAGAAATGTCATTCTCTGGTCGCTAAGGCTGGCTGTGAGACTCGCTCTGCACCTCGTCGGTGGAAGCTGATGTGACGACATGGGGGGGGGGGGCATTTCGTTAAACGCTCGCACTCGCAGTCTCTTTACTGGTGTGGCTGTGTCGGGTCGGAGTGGCGGGGGGGGGGTTCCTAAAGACACAGATCTGGTAAAGTCATTACCGAACCCAACGTCTGTCATCAGAAGAACACGTGGTAGGAGGCTTTCGCGACCAATACCATCCATAATAGTGTTTTGTTGGGTTAGATCGCGTAAATGTATAAATGTGTCATTTAACCCGTACCCACCTGCTGCTGGGAGGCCTACCCACCTGCCGCTGGAGAGGCCTACCCACCTGCCGCTGGAGAGGCCTACCCACCTGCCGCTGGGAGGCCTACCCACCTGCTGGGAGGCCTACCCACCTGCCGCTGGGAGGCCTACCCACCTGCTGGGAGGCCTACCCACCTGCTGGGAGGCCTACCCACCTGCTGGGAGGCCTACCCACCTGCCGCTGGGAGGCCTACCCACCTGCCGCTGGGAGGCCTACCCACCTGCTGGGAGGCCTACCCACCTGCTGGGAGGCCTACCCACCTGCCGCTGGAGAGGCCTACCCACCTGCCGCTGGAGAGGCCTACCCACCTGCCGCTGGAGAGGCCTACCCACCTGCTGGAGAGGCCCGACAGGGCCCGGGTGAGCACCTCGGGGGTGTTGTCTCCCTGCACTGCCGCGCGGTCCAGGGGGTCCTTGCGGCCGGCGTGCGGCCCTCCTAGGCCCTGCAAGAGATGGAGGAGGCGCTGTGAGGGGCGCAGCACGCGGGCAGGGGGAGAGCTGCGCCGCCGGTGCTGTAGGCCAAGGGGAGGGACGCTGGACGGCAGCGTGGCCTCCAACTCTTGGACGGCCTGGCTACTTCGTCGATGAGCCATTATGCGTCGTGAGTTCTATCGTTTTGAGAAGCCACAGCTAAAAGGAGGGCGTTGCCTCCACGCGCAATATTGGACGAGAATTGTTTTGCGTTGAGATGGAACGGCCATTGCTAACTGGTGCAGTGGATAGAGCACGCGGCTCTCACTGAGGATTGTGGTGAGGGGGGTGTGGTGAGGGGGGTGTGGTGAGGGGGGTTGTGGTGAGGGGGGTGTGGTGAGGGGGTGTGGTGAGGGGGGTTGTGGTGAGGGGGGTTGTGGTGAGGGGGGTGTGGTGAGGGTGGTGAGGGGGGTTGTGGTGAGGAGGGTGTGGTGAGGGGGTTGTGGTGAGGGGGGTGTGGTGAGGGGGTTGTGGAGAAGAGGGGTGTGGTGAGGGTGGTGTGGTGAGGGGGGTGTGGTGAGGGTGGTGTGGTGAGAGGGGTGTGGTGAGGGGGGTGTGGTGAGGGGGGTGTGGTGAGGGGGGTGTGGTGAGGGGGGTGTGGTGAGAGGCGAGGTTGCGCAAGCCCCATGACCAGGTTGAGTTCCCGCGTGCGAGCAGAAGCGGCCGAGATCATCATCACCACCACCATCACCACCACCAGCACCACCATCACCACCACCACCACCGTGATCAGCCAAGGTCTATCCACAGCCACATTCACCACCACCCCCGCCCCACCCCCTATACACCCCCTATAGCCCGGCCACCTTTGTCTCCCCAGTGGCGATGTTTACTGCACACTCCACCAGGTACTCATTTGAGGCCGAGTCGACCTAGGCGACGAAGGCCCAGGACCAGTTCAGATAATCTCCACACCGGGAATCGACCTCAGGTCGCCGGGTTTCGTAGCGCGGCTCGCTGACCCCCCCCCCCAACACGACCGCTCCCCACTCGCACCGGGCCATTGGTGGTGTTGGCAATCATCACACTGCAAAGATGAGTAAAGTGTCTCCCCACATTACTCATGTTGGCAATCATCCCACTGCTAAGATGAGTAAAGTGTCTCCCCCACGTTACTCATGTTGGCCACTCATCCCACTGCTAAGATGAGTAAAGTGTCTCCCCATGTTACTCATGTTGGCCAATCATCCCACTGCCAAGATGAGTAAAGTGTCTCCCCACATTACTCATGTTGGCCAATCATCCCACTGCTAAGATGAGTAAAGTGTCTCCCCATGTTACTCATGTTGGCCAATCATCCCACTGCCAAGATGAGTAAAGTGTCTCCCCACATTACTCATGTTGGCCAATCATCCCACTGCTAAGATGAGTAAAGTGTCTCCCCATGTTACTCATGTTGGCCAATCATCCCACTGCCAAGATGAGTAAAGTGTCTCCCCACATTACTCATGTTGGCCAATCATCCCACTGCTAAGATGAGTAAAGTGTCTCCCCACGTTACTCATGTTGGCCAATCATCCCACTGCCTAGATGAGTAAAGTGTCTCCCCACGTTACTCATGTTGGCCAATCATCCCACTGCTTAAATGAGTAAAGTGTCTCCCCATGTTACTCATGTTGGCCAATCATCCCACTGCTAAGATGAGTAAAGTGTCTCCCCACGTTACTCATGTTGGCCAATCATCCCACTGCCTAGATGAGTAAAGTGTCTCCCCATGTTACTCATGTTGGCCAATCATCCCACTGCCTAGATGAGTAAAGTGTCTCCCCACGTTACTCATGTTGGCAGTGACACGGCGGCCGCGACATCGCCCCTCCGTTGCGAAACGTGGGAGGAGCCACGGGGGCAAAGTCTCCAGAGCGTTCGTCAGCGAGCGCTCTGAGAAATCTTAAAAACCGCAACAAACGCAGTACCACGGCCACAACCAACCAACACAAAGCATCAACCGCTGAGAGTCGGTGTGAGTCGGTGTGGGTCTGTGTGTGTGGATCGGTGTGAGTCTGTGTGTGTGGGTCTGTGCGAGTCTGTGTGTGTGGGTCTGTGTGTGTGGGTCTGTGTGATCACAAATCTCTATTTAACTCCATCAAAAAAGTAACCTGCAGCGCCACACCTATTACCATCATTAGGGGAAAAAACGGTGATCCAATCTCCGACCCCCAGGAACAGGTTTGCAGCTTTGCTGAGCATTTCTGTGAGGTGCTGGGGGAGGGGAAATCCCTCTGCCAGGAAAACATCGTGGCACAAAGTGAGGATGACCCTGCTGAGGCTGCGGTGCCTCAAATATTGGAAGAAGTCACCCCCTGTGAGTGGCTGGCTGAGGTGCCATCTGTTGAGGAAGTAATGTAGGTGATCCGGAGTCTGAGACGAGGAAAGGCAGTGGGCAGAGATGATCTCCCAAGCAAAATGCTGAGGGAGGGTGGCGTTTGTGCACAGACTGCCCTATATGACATCATAACAACAGTCTGAACCACTGGACGGGTTCCGCAGGATTGGAAGGATGCTCTGGTGATCCCCCTCTTTAAGAAGGGGGACCGCACAGACTGTAACAACTACAGGGGCATCTCACTCCTCAGTGTGCCGGGAAAGGTCCTGGCAAGGATTATTCAACATTGCCTTGCCAGGCATGCTGAGGAGAGGCTTGCGGAGCCCCAATGCGCTTTCAGGAAAGGGCGGTCCTGCACAGATGCCATATTTTCTGTCCGTCTGCTACAGCAGAGGTGTAGGGAATTCTAGAAAGACCTACATCTTTGCTTTATTGACCTGGTCAAGGCCTATGATACCATCAGTAGGCCTGGGGTCTGGATTGTTCTTCGTGTTTTTGGAGTACCTGACCCTCTGTTCACGATCATTAAGGACCTTCATGATGGTGAGCGGGCCCGGGTAAAACTACGTGGCCGGGAGTCAGAGCCATTCCCTGTACACCTTGGGGTGCGACAGGGATGTCCTCTGGCTCCCACATTATTTAACATCTATTTTGACCACGTAGTTCGTGAAGCCTTCAATATCTGTTCCGGGGGAATCTCCATATGGTACAGATATAATGGGAGGCTGATCGATGCCCGGGTGCGGTCAAGGGATGGCTCCCTATTGCTCAACCACGTTATGTATGCCGATGATTTGGTAATAGCTGCTCATTCAGAGGAGGAGTTGGAGATGCTGCTGCTGAGACTGGAGCGTTCTACTAAGAGATGGGGCCTCACCATCAGCCCCACCAAAACTAAGCACCTGCCTGGGTATTTTGTACCATCGGACACTCCACCCCCACAATTCCCAATCGGTGATGGGGCAGTTGTGGAGAGAGTGGAGAGTTTCCCATACCTGGGCAGTGTGCTTATGACCGGCTCCAGTTTAACAGCAGAGGTCTCACTCCGAATAAGTCGAGCGGCAATATCTTTTCATCGGTTGTGTAACGCTGTGTGGAAGCTACCTGGTCTGTCGCTCCGCACTAAGCTTCAGGTCTTCTCGGCCACGGTCATTCCCTCCCTTCTCTACGCTTGCGAAATGTGGATCCCCCTAATGGAACATCTTCGCCGGTTATAAACATTTAGGCTGGCCTGCCTGCGATCCATCCTGGGTTTAACCAGGCTGGATTGTGTGAGGAGCTCACAAATCCTTGAAAGGTCTGGGCACGGTCCCATCGGTGAGCTCCTCCGGCAGGCAAGGCTGCGTTGGCTGGGTCATGTAGCCCACATGCCCTGCCGCCGCATGCCGAAACAGCTTTTGTTCGGCCGGATCGAGGGGGCTAAACGGGCGCGGCACGGGCTAGAAAAGAGATGGAGTGATGTGGTACAGGAGGACGTGGAGCTGAGTGGACTTGCCGATGACTGGTACCAGCGGTGTCAAGATCGGCCTCTGTGGAGGAGGCTCGTGAAGGACGCTACTGGGCAGTTGGAGGCAGTTGCCCTCCAACAACAACGGAGGGCAGAGGAGCGACGCTCACAACAACAAGCGGAGCGCCGGGTGGCTAAAGCACAGCAGGTTGGCACAGTAGGGGGCACAGGTGGTGCATCAGCCAGTCATCTCAGTCAGTCGACCCGTGGCACCTGGGTCTGCCCCGTGACCTCCTGCCAGCGGGCGTTCGACACTTCACGTGGCCTCAAGGTGCACATGGCCTGGCACAAGCGTCGTGGTGACGTCACCGCCACTTAGTGGTTAATGGCGGTTGTTGTTGTTGTGAGTCTGTGTGTGTGGGTCTGTGTGGGTCTGTGTGTGTGAATCTGTGTGTGTGGGTCTGTGTGTGTGGGTCTGTGTGTGTGGGTCTGTGTGTGTGGGTCGGTGTGTGTGGGTCTGTGTGTGAGACTGTGTGTGTGAGTCTGTGTGTGTGAGTCTGTTTGTGTGAGTCAGTGTTCAGGCGTGGTGCTGGCCTCCCACCCCCTCGTGTGCCGTTCCAACCTTCATAGGTGCTAGCTAACAGCACTTGCTCCTACAGTCTGTCCAGGCAGTAGGGAGATCTTTGTCTTTGTGAGTCGGTGAGAGTCGCCGATGGGTCCCATTCCCGTGTCGGTAGAACGTGAAACGTGTTCCGGTAGAACGTGAAACGTGTTCCGGTAGAACGTGAAACGTGTTCCGGTAGAACGTGAAACGTGTTCCGGTAGAACGTGAAACGTGTTCCGGTAGAACGTGAAACGTGTTCCGGTAGAACGTGAAACGTGTTCCGGTAGAACGTGAAACGTGTTCCGGTAGAAGGTGAAACGTGTTCCGGTAGAACGTGAAACGTGTTCCGGTAGAACGTGAAACGTGTTCCGGTAGAACGTGAAACGTGCTCCGGTAGAACGTGAAACGTGTTCCGGTAGAACGTAAAACGTGTTCCGGTAGAACGTGAAACGTGTTCCGGTAGAACGTGAAACGTGTTCCGGTAGAACGTGAAACGTGTTCCGGCCAAAGTGGCCGCGACTATGCGGAACCTGCCGGCTCACGACAGACGTCACTCTCACCAAGGGCAGGCGTGCGGGTAGATGAGCAGGGAGACAAAGGCGGCCGGGCGTGGTGCTGGCCACCCACCTTCTCGTGTGTGCCGTGCCGGCCTTCATAGGTGCTCGCTAACAGCAACTTGCCCTAACGATCTGTTGAGGCTACACGGGGGATGTTTGTCTTTTGTGTAGCGCAGTGCCATAACCACGGCGCCACCGCTCCCCACGCACACGTGCAGGCAAAGACGCCCGAGCGGGCTGTTGGGACGAGGTGCTGTGAGCGAGCCACCAATGAGAGCCACCACGGCCACACGAGGGGTGGGGGGATGAGTGTCCAGCACCACCCCCTCGTTGTGACGCCCTGAATAGGTGCTCGCCGACAGCTTACGCACCGCGCACTCATTTGAGGCCAAGTCGACCTGGGGGAGGCCCGGCATCAGCTCAGATGTCGACCGCGAACGCGGGAGAGGGACGACTTTGGGGGATCGCGGTGCGTGCAGACGACTCCACACCACCACCGCTCCCCCACCCACACCACCACCTCCTCACCTGGGGGGGGTGGTGGTGGTGGTGGTGGTGGAGCTCCTCCTCACCTGATGGTGGTGGTGGAGCTCCTCCTCACCTGGTGGTGGTGGAGCTCCTCCTCACCTGATGGTGGTGGTGGTGGAGCTCCTCCTCACCTGGTGGTGGTGGAGCTCCTCCTCACCTGGTGGTGGTGGTGGAGCTCCTCCTCACCTGGTGGTAGTGGTGGAGCTCCTCCTCACCTGGTGGTTGTGGTTGTGGTGGCGGTGGTGGTGGTGGAGCTCCTCCTCACCTGGTGGTTGTGGTTGTGGTGGAGCTCCTCCGCGCCAGGGACCGCTCCGGGCCGATGTCGCCTCATCTCAGCGGGCGGCCTCCACACCTCGACGAGGCTGGGACCCACGGGTGCAGTCCTCCTCCTCTCTCTCTGCTCTCCTCCGCTACGAACACTGCGCTACGAACACTGCGCGCACACACAGACGAGAGGCTGTTGGGGCGAGCACTGTAGGGGCGAGCGCCGTTGGGGCGAGCGCCTATGAAGGGCTGCGCACGAGGGGGTGGTGTGGCGAGACCACCGAAGCTCGGCAGCAATCGTCTCCCCGAGGCTGATGCACTTAATTTTAGGGCCGAGTCGACCTAGGGGTGGACACAGGAAAGGGTTCGCGCATTCGCCACCGATGTTGACTGCGAGCGGGACTCGAACTCAAGTCGCCGGCTTTGGTGGCGCAGTAGCGCATCGCCGGTGCGCACCACCCGATCGCCACGCAGGTGACACAGTCCACGTGCTCACAGACACACGCGTACGCACAGACACACGCGTACGCACAGACACACGCGTACGCACAGACACACGCGTACGCACAGACACACGCGTACGCACAAGTACACTCAGAGGTCAACAAACACACGCGAAAAATACACAGAGACCCTCCGGGTAGCCTTAAGAGACTGTTGGGGCAAGTGCTGTTAGCGAGCAGCACCTGTGAAGGTCGGTAAGGCACACGAGGGGGTGGGTGGCCAGCGCCACGCCCGGCCGCTTTTGTCTCCCCATCGGCGATGTTTCCTACACACCGCACCAGGTACTCGACCTAGCGGAGGCCCAGGACCGGTTCAAATAATCGTCGCCGGTGTTGGCCGTGAGCGGAAGTCGAACTCGGGTCGCCGGTTTCATAACGCAGCGAAGCGCTAACCACTACGCCACCGCTGCCACACAACGCACACAAAAGACCAAGACACACGCACCTGTACACACACGCACCTGTACACACACGCACCTGTACACACACGCACCTGTACACACACGTACCTGTACACACACGCACCTGTACACACACGCACCTGTACACACACGCACCTGTACACACACGCACCTGTACACACACGCACCTGTACACACACGCACCTGTACACACACGCACCTGTACACACACGCACCTGTACACACACGCACACGTTCCTGTACACACACGCACACGTTCCTGTACACACACGCACACGTTCCTGTACACACACGCACACGTTCCTGTACACACACGCACACGTTCCTGTACACACACGCACACGTTCCTGTACACACACGCACACGTTCCTGTACACACACGCACACGTTCCTGTACACACACGCACACGTTCCTGTACACACACGCACACGTTCCTGTACACACACGCACACGTTCCTGTACACACACGCACACGTTCCTGTACACACACGCACACGTTCCTGTACACACACGCACACGTTCCTGTACACACACGCACACGTTCCTGTACACACACGCACACGTTCCTGTACACACACGCACACGTACCTGTACACACACGCACACGTACCTGTACACACACGCACACGTACCTGTACACACACGCGTACCTGTACACACACGCGCACCTGTACACACACGCGCACCTGTACACACGCGCACCTGTACACACGCGCATCTGTATACACGCGGACACGTACCTGTACGCACACGTACCTGTACCCACACGTACCTGTACACACGCGCACACGTACCTGTACACACACGCGTACCTGTACACACACGCGTACCTGTACACACACGCGTACCTGTACACACACGCGTACCTGTACACACACGCGTACCTGTACACACACGCGCACCTGTACACACACGCGCACCTGTACACACACGCGCACCTGTACACACACGCGCATCTGTATACACGCGGACACGTACCTGTACGCACACGTACCTGTACCCACACGTACCTGTACACACGCGCACACGTACCTATACACACATGTACCTATACACACACGTACCTGTACACACACACGTACCTGTACACACACACGTACCTGTACACACACACGTACCTATACACACACACGTACCTGTAAACACGCGCCTATCAAGTTGCTCCCGGTGCAGCCCCAGGACGCCACTGGATTTGATTTTTGCTTCCTCTCTGCAACCGGTTCCTTGACTCGCGGTCGGGTGGCGCGGAACCGGCAACTCTCCACCCGTTGCGACACGAGCTGAACTTACCTGCCTTACCGGTTCCCCCAGGTGAGAGCGTCACGCCTCGGAGATTACGCAACGCCAAGAGGCGACATTCGGCGCGGCGCCGAGGGACAGAGGTCGCGCGCTGCTCACACCCCCCCCACCCCCACCCCGTTCGCTCGCAGGTGACAGCCACGGGGAATCGACCCTGATGCCGAGTCGGACTATGGGATAGGACTATGGGATAGGGCTATGGGATAGGGCTATGGGATAGGGCTATGGGATAGGGCTATGGGATAGGACTATGAGATAGGACTATGGGATAGGGCTATGGGATAGGGCTATGAGATAGGGCTATGCGATAGGATTATGGGATAGGACTATGGGATAGGGCTATGGGATAGGGATATAGGATAGGGCTATGGGATAGGACTATGGGATAAGGTATGGGATAGGACTATGGGCTAGGACTATGGGATAGGACTATGGGATAGGGCTATGGGATAGGGCTATGGGATAGGGCCGTATAAGGCTCGCGAAATCAATTGGCAGTTCCAGCCATCACATTAGGGGTGAGTTAATTAACTGTTTGACCAAATATAACAGGCTAATTTTTAAGCTGATAATTTTGTATGGCCCGCGAATGATGTTATATAAATATCCAAATGGCCCTTGGCAGAAAAAAGGTTCCCAGTACCTGTAGCCCCTGGGCTACAGGTCACTGTGAGCCCCCCCCTCCCCCCACTGATATTTTTAAAAGGAAAGCAAGTTGAAGAAAAATAAAATTTATTTTTACAAGGCTAACAACAAATGCAATTCAGCATTCACAAATGAAATAACTTTTCACTTCATCTCTGGAGGCCCTCCAGCTGGCGGAGGCCCCTGGGCTGCAGCCACTAAAGCCCCCACGCCTTGATCCGGCCCTGCATGAAACCACCACCGCCGCCTCCACCATCACCACCACCACCACCACCATCACCACCACCATCACCACCACCATCACCACCACCATCACCACCATCACCATCATCATCACCACCACCACCATCACCACCGCCGCCTCCACCATCACCACCACCATCACCACCATCACCACCACCATCACCACCACCACCATCACCACCACCACCATCACCACCATCATCATCATCATCGGCAGCAGCAGCAATGATCAATCCACCGCTGGACGAAGGCTTCCCCACGTCGATGAGCAGCGCCTCCTTCGCGTTTCCGATAATTGACTTTAAACCGATGCGGTGCGACCTTTGACACTCGGGAGAACAAAGGCGGCCGGGGATGGTTTCGAGCTCGCATCGCACTCGAGCGTGTGCGGAGTTTACCTTCAGAGGCTGCTCGCCGAGAGCGCACTTGCCCCAACAGTCTGCGAAGGTTCGACGCGGCGGGGGCGGTGCCAGGGGGGAGCTTGATCTTTTGTGCATTGACGAGGGTTGCCAAACGGTAACCGGTAACCGTTTTGAAAATCACACGCGGGCTTCACGAGTCGCGAACCGGGTAGGCGATGTCGGTGTTACCGTTCATTGCCGATTGCAACTCGGTAAGCAACTCGCGTCGTTGTTTACACGAGCGCGAGCCGGGGAGGTGGCGTGGATCCGGCGACAGCCCCGGCACGCTGCACCTCCGATGCGAAGCGCGGTGGGCCACGTGACGGCGGTGCGAAAGAAGTTCAACGAACACATTGCACGCACAAGGCAGGGGCGTTGTGACGGGCTTTATTGCGATAGATATCTGTAGGTGCGGCAAATTCGGCAACCAGGGTTCTAAACCGGGTTTGTTCTGTTCGGTTCTACATTTTGCTGGAATGCAACAAGAAAAATTAACCCCAGATTCGGAATGTCGCGGGTATGGCAGGAGGGTGCGGGGCCCCTGTGTAATGCTTGGATGGGTGCCCAGCGTGAATTACATAATCACCACCACCACAGTCATCACAGCCATCATCATCACAATCACCACCACCACAGTCATCACAGCCATCATCATCACAATCACCACCACCACAGTCATCACAGCCATCATCATCACAATCACCACCACCACCACAGTCATCACAGCCATCATCATCACAATCACCACCACCACAGTCATCACAGCCATCATCATCACAATCACCACCACCACCACAGTCATCACAGCCATCATCATCATCACAATCACCACCACCACAGTCATCACAGCCATCATCATCACAATCACCACGGCCACCGCCACCACAGCCATCATCATCACAATCACCACCAACACCCTCACCATCACAGCCATCATCCTCACAATCACCACCAACACCCTCACCATTACAGCCATCATCATCACCATCACCACCACAACCATCACTGCCATCATCATCACAATCACCACCAACACCCTCACCATCACAGCCATCATTATCACAATCACCACCAACACCCTCACTATTACAGCCATCATCATCACCATCACCACCACCACCACAGTCATCACTGCCATCATCATCACAATCACCATGGCCACCGCCACCACAGCCATCATCATCACAATCACCACCAACACCCTCACCATCACAGCCATCATCCTCACAATCACCACCAACACCCTCACCATTACAGCCATCATCATCACCATCACCACCACAACCATCACTGCCATCATCATCACAATCACCACCAACACCCTCACTATTACAGCCATCATCATCACCATCACCACCACCACAGTCATCACTGCCATCATCATCATCACAATCACCACCAACACCCTCACCATCACAGCCATCATCATCACAATCACCACCACCACAGCCATCATCATCACAATCACCACCAACACCCTCACGATCACAGCCATCATCATCACAATCACCGCCAACACACTCACCATCACAGCCATCATCATCACAATCACCACCACCACCACAGCCATCACAGCCATCATCATCACAATCACCACCAACACCCTCACCATCACAGCCATCATCATCATAACCACCACCAACACCCTCACCATCACAGCCATCATCATCACAATCACCACCAACACCCTCGCCATCACAGCCATCATCATCACAATCACCACCACCACAGCCATTACAGCTATTATCATCACAATCACCACCAACACCCTCACCATCACAGCCATCATCATCACAATCACCACCAACACCCTCACCATCACAGCCATCATCATCACAATCACCACCACCACAGCCATCACAGCCATCATCACAATCACCACCAACACCCTCATCATCACAGCCATCACAACCACAACTAACACCCTCGTCATCACAGCCATCATCATCACAATCACCACCAACGATCTCACCATCACAGCCATCATCATCACAACCACCATCAACACCCTCACCATCATCACAACCACCACCAACACCCTCACCATCACAGCTATCACAATCATCATCACAACCACCACCAACACCATCACAGCCATCACAACCACCACCAACACCCTCACCATCACAGCCATCATCATCACAATCACCACCACAGCCACCACAGCCATCATCATCACAATCACCACCAATACCCTCACCATCACAGCCATCATCATCACAACCACCATCAACACCCTCACCATCATCACAACCACCACCAACACCCTCACCATCACAGCTATCACAATCATCATCACAACCACCACCAACACCATCACAGCCATCACAACCACCACCAACACCCTCACCATCACAGCCATCATCATCACAATCACCACCACAGCCACCACAGCCATCATCATCACAATCACCACCAATACCCTCACCATCACAGCCATCATCATCACAACCACCATCAACACCCTCACCATCATCACAACCAACACCCTCGCCATCACAGCTATCACAATCATCATCACAACCACCACCAACACCATCACAGCCATCACAACCATCATCATCACAACCACCACCAACACCCTCACCATCACAACCATCATCATCGCCATCCTTGCGTGGTAGATAAAGCAGCACCACACTGTGGTAAATCTACGATTTAGCATCATAACGACAAAACCGCCCCTGCCAGAGGAACGTGGAACTTCACCAAAGTATTCGAGACCAGACGTGATGCTGGTGGGCACACTCGTGGTGAGCGTAGGGCGGTCTCACGGGCCGGCCTTCGCTGATCGTTGCAGAGGTTTGCGGTTCAAACCCCGCAGGCCGCCCCGGTTAACACTGCGGGTCCAACGAGCGTAAAATACTTCGCGCTGCCTGCTTCACAATGGGCAGCGCGAAGTATGGGGGGTGGTGGTGGGGGGGTGGTGGTGGGGGGGTGGTGGTGTTGGGGGTGGTGGTGGTGGTGGGGGGGTATGGTGGTGGTGGTGGGGTGGTGGTGGGGGTGGTGGTGGTGGGGGGGTGGTGGTGGTGGGGGGGGGGTGGTGGTGGTGGGGGGGTGGTGGTGGTGGGGGGGTGGTGGGGGGGTGGTGGTGGTGGGGGTGGTGGTGGGGGTGGGGGGGAGTGGTGGTGTTGGGGGGGGTGGGGATGGTGGTGGGGGGGGTATGGTGGTGGTGGTGGGGGGGGGGTGGTGGTGGGGGTGGTGGTGGGGGGGTATGGTGGTGGGGGGGTTCCCATGGCGTCTCCAGCGCAGCAGCAGTGGAGCCCGGGGCACTGTGTGTGGGTTCTGTGTGTGGGTTCTGTGTGTGTGGGTTCTGTGTGTGTGGGTTCTGTGTGTGTGGGTTCTGTGTGTGTGGGTTCTGTGTGTGTGGGTTCTGTGTGTGTGGGTTCTGTGTGTGTGGGTTCTGTGTGTGGGTTCTGTGTGTGTGGGTTCTGTGTGTGTGGGTTCTGTGTGTGTGGGTTCTGTGTGTGTGGGTTCTGTGTGTGGGTTCTGTGTGTGGGTTCTGTGTGTGGGTTCTGTGTGTGTGGGTTCTGTGTGTGTGGGTTCTGTGTGTGTGGGTTCTGTGTGTGTGGGTTCTGTGTGTGGGTTCTGTGTGTGTGGGTTCTGTGTGTGTGGGTTCTGTGTGTGTGGGTTCTGTGTGTGTGGGTTCTGTGTGTGGGTTCTGTGTGTGGGGTTCTGTGTGTGTGGGTTCTGTGTGTGGGTTCTGTGTGTGTGGGTTCTGTGTGTGTGGGGTTCTGTGTGTGTGGGTTCTGTGTGTGTGGGTTCTGTGTGTGGGTTCTGTGTGTGTGGGTTCTGTGTGTGTGGGTTCTGTGTGTGTGGGGTTCTGTGTGTGTGGGTTCTGTGTGTGGGGTTCTGTGTGTGTGGGTTCTGTGTGTGTGGGTTCTGTGTGTGTGGGTTCTGTGTGTGTGGGTTCTGTGTGTGGGTTCTGTGTGTGGTTGTGGTGTTCTGTGTGTGTGGGTTCTGTGTGTGGGGTTCTGTGTGTGGGTTCTGTGTGTGGGTTCTGTGTGTGGGTTCTGTGTGTGTTGGGTGTGTGTGTGGGTTCTGTGTGTGTGGGTTCTGTGTGTGTGGGTTCTGTGTGTGTGGGTTCTGTGTGTGTGGGTTCTGTGTGTGGGTTCTGTGTGTGTGGGTTCTGTGTGTGTGGGTTCTGTGTGTGGGTTCTGTGTGTGTGGGTTCTGTGTGTGTGGGTTCTGTGTGTGTGGGTTCTGTGTGTGTGGGTTCTGTGTGTGTGGGTTCTGTGTGTGTGTGTTGTGTGTGTGTGGGTTCTGTGTGTGTGGGTTCTGTGTGTGTGGGTTCTGTGTGTGTGGGTTCTGTGTGTGTGGGTTCTGTGTGTGTGGGTTCTGTGTGTGGGTTCTGTGTGTGTGGGTTCTGTGTGTGTGGGTTCTGTGTGTGTGGGTTCTGTGTGTGGGTTCTGTGTGTGGGTTCTGTGTGTGGGTTCTGTGTGTGGGTTCTGTGTGTGTGGGTTCTGTGTGTGTGGGTTCTGTGTGTGTGGGTTCTGTGTGTGTGGGTTCTGTGTGTGTGGGTTCTGTGTGTGTGGGTTCTGTGTGTGGGTTCTGTGTGTGTGGGTTCTGTGTGTGTGGGTTCTGTGTGTGGGTTCTGTGTGTGTGGGTTCTGTGTGTGGGGTTCTGTGTAGTGTGGGTTCTGTGTGTGGGTTCTGTGTGTGTGGGTTCTGTGTGTGGGTTCTGTGTGTGGGGTTCTGTGTGTGGTTCTGTGTGTGTGGGTTCTGTGTGTGTGGGTTCTGTGTGTGGGTTCTGTGTGTGTGGGTTCTGTGTGTGTGGGTTCTGTGTGTGTGGGTTCTGTGTGTGGGTTCTGTGTGTGGGTTCTGTGTGTGTGGGTTCTGTGTGTGGGTTCTGTGTGTGTGGGTTCTGTGTGTGGGCTCTGTGTGTGGGTTCTGTGTGTGTGGGTTCTGTGTGTGGTGGGTTCTGTGTGTGTGGGTTCTGTGTGTGTGGTTCTGTGTGTGGGTTCTGGTGTGTGGGTTCTGTGTGTGGGTTCTGTGTGTGGGTTCTGTGTGTGTGGGTTCTGTGTGTGGGTTCTGTGTGTGTGGGTTCTGTGTGTGGTTCTGTGTGTGTGGGTTCTGTTGTGTGGGTTCTGTGTGTGGGTTCTGTGTGTGGGTTCTGTGTGTGTGGGTTCTGTGTGTGTGGGTTCTGTGTGTGTGGGTTCTGTGTGTGTGGGTTCTGTGTGTGTGGGTTCTGTGTGTGGGTTCTGTGTGTGGGTTCTGTGTGTGTGGGTTCTGTGTGTGTGGGTTCTGTGTGTGGGTTCTGTGTGTGGGTTCTGTGTGTGTGGGTTCTGTGTGTGTGGGTTCTGTGTGTGTGGGTTCTGTGTGTGTGGGTTCTGTGTGTGGGTTCTGTGTGTGGGTTCTGTGTGTGTGGGTTTCTGTGTGTGGGTTCTGTGGTGTGGGTTCTGTGTGTGGGTTCTGTGTGTGGGTTCTGTGTGTGTGGGTTCTGTGTGTGTGGGTTCTGTGTGTGTGGTTTCTGTGTGTGTGGGTTCTGTGTGTGGGTTCTGTGTGTGTGGGTTCTGTGTGTGTGGGTTCTGTGTGTGGGTTCTGTGTGTGTGGGTTCTGTGTGTGTGGGTTCTGTGTGTGTGGGTTCTGTGTGTGGGTTCTGTGTGTGGGTTCTGTGTGTGGGTTCTGTGTGTTGTGGGTTC